ACCAGAAGTACAACTTATGACAGCCAGTCAGGGGTTCCTCAAGGGTCAGTTCTCGGACCTTTGCTCTTCGTTCTGTATGTGAGGGATATTGCCGGCGACCTTGCCCCTCATGACGTCACCACTATTCAGTTTGCTGATGACATCTCGCTGCGTGCGAGCAGTCCACAGCCAGAAGTTGTCTCCCAGCGCCTCACTGCAGCAGTTCAGTACCTGGCCACTTGGTTGAAGAAACGTGGACTGATCCTTAACGAGACCAAGACGCAGATACTCGCCATACCACACCATAGAGCTGCAGCCCTCGACATCAATGTTGTATGCAATTCACAAGTCCTACCAGTAGTCACATCTGCCAAATACCTTGGCCTGCATTTTGACTCGGACATGAGTTGGACCACAATGGTGGACCATGTTGCTCGTCGTGTTGCCGGCAAAATTGCTGTCCTGCTGCGACATGCTTCCTCGCTGCCGTATCCATGCCGACTCACCTACTTCAGATCTATCGTTTTGCCTGAATTTTTGTATGCCTCTATTAGTTACTACCCGTATTTGACAGTTGCCCAGGAACAACGGCTACATAGGCTGTTCAAACGTGCCGCTCGGGCAGTCTGCAAGTCGCCACCGTGGACCAGTACTGCTCCCCTGCTAAATCGAATGCATGTATGTGATCTACAGGTTTCTGTGCACTTGAATATGTTTTGTTTCATCTGGCGATGTTTGCATGATGCATGTAGCACCCTGTTTGAGTCCTTTTTTGCTGTCGTGCCCTCAACTCGCACTCGGGGAGGCCAAAGCAACTTGCTTGTGGTCCCACCTGCTAGCACTGCTCGTTCTGCTAAGCGCCTAACGCACGCTGGAGCCATTATGTGGAATAGATTGCCACCAGCAGCAAAATGTTCAAATAGGTATTTGGATTTTAAATCTCAAGCCTTGCAGTATATATTATCAGCGACATAGGTTTTCCAATGCTTACTGGATTGATATCTGTTCGTTGCAACCAACCTTCCGTCATTTTTCCTTTCTCTTTTTCTCTTGTATCTACTTTTTTTTTTTTTTTTTTTTTTCCACAATATCCTTTAACATGTTATTCACAGTGGGTCCAATGTTATTAGGCATTTTGCCTGTTTTGATTTCCACTATAAATAAAGTATACAACAATATCAGTATTTGACCCGGGTCAACTGTCTTCATGTAAACGCTCACCTCTTTTGTCTATCGTACAGACTTTCAACCCGGGCTGAACTCGACCCGGGTTGAAATTTCTCATGTAAACACAGCCCTAGAGGGTCTGAGGCAGGGAGTAGTACAATACTACTCCCTGGTCTGAGGCTACAAACTGTGCATGTGGCAGAACTTGCCGTACAGAGTTCACAGTACAATATTTACCGTATAGACTAAGAGAAGGCTACAGATTGCTGCAGTGCCGAAACATGAACTAAAACATGTAAAATAGCAAAATTAAACTATCTCGCTTCGCGACATTTCTTCCATTTCTGTCCCAAACCAAGAGCATTATATCCCTTGCTGAAGCATTATAATCAGCATTATAAGGCAGTTTTTGGAGCATTATGGTTAGCATTATACGAACATTTTCGGAGCATTATCCGCTGGACCCTAGCCATGTGTGTCATAAGGCATCACCATCAAAAGAGGTTAACTTAAACAAAAATGATGAGGGGTGACATCACTGACACAAAACATTGTGTATTGAGCAGGGAGTGGTGCTGTCCTGCAGGTTTGTCCAACAGATCATAATTATTATGCAATAGAGAGGTCAGAGGTACACGTACATCTACGTCTGACTTAGTGATATTCGGTACTGACCGTGTAGGTAGATGTAATGGAGTTTTCCAAACCGTTTATATCTACATGTATGAACGGATTCGCAAACTGCCGTTGCAGCACATACGCGTAAGTGCTGCTCGATACATGTACATGACATGTACGTCCAAGCCTGGAACATGATTTCCAGTGTTTTTTTTGCCTTGGATTACCAAGGATTTGCTTTCAACGTGCGATGGTCTAACCCTTCGAGCTGTCAGTCATGACGAACGACATGCTCGATTCTGGCCTTCAGTCCGGAGCGAACAGGCAGGGCATTGGCCATGCCATTCAAGCCGGTACGAAGAGCAATAGTCTATTGACTGTTACCGATCGTTAGTGACCCTTGATTACTCTGTGCGCACTCGTGCGTGCATAATCACGACATACCATAATTATAATATCACTCACTGCGCGTTCGATGCGACGGGTAACATGCGAGGAGAAATTCCTGTCGCATGCATGCGCTAGGCCACTGTCGCGGAAGTTGATCATCATTCAACTACAGTCAAATCTGTTGTAAGCGACCGCCCCTTGGTGCAAGAAAAAGCGGTCGCTTACGGCAGATGGTCTCTTACGGCAGATGTATGGTAAATCCGGCATACCAGGTATATGCTTCCATGTACTCAAATCGACGAGAATAATGTGATTTTTAATATCATTTTATTGGATATTCAACGACGACCATACCCGTATAGTACGCGTATGCGACACGGCAGTAGATCGACACTGCCTGGACTTGAGAGCTACAGCACAGCCTCAGTACAGGCCAGGCGCCAGTCGATCGCACTTGCAAGACAGCGCATTTTCACACTTTGCAGTTGACAACGCACTGGCAAGTACAGTTTCGCACCTTACTGTCTGAACCTGGGTCGCGGTCGCTTACAGCAGATTTGAATGCAGCCACCGTGCATGAAATCGCGGGCGCTGGTCGCGCACAGCAGATGGTCGCTCTGGACAGATCAGTTTGTATGTGAAACCGTCGGTGCACGGAAAATCGGTCGCTAACGGTAGATGGTCGCCTACAGCAGAGGTCGCTAACGGCAGATTTGACTGTAGTTACTTTTGCGACGTA